TATAGAAAAACAGAGAGAAAAACACGCACACATTATTTTAAAGATGTTACACCAATGCGCACCTTGCAAAAAGGCCATCACCTCGCTGACGATGCCAAGCCAACGAAAGGTGGCTACGCATACATATACGTTTAGCTCATCTCTTTATCGTTAAAGTCTAGATATTCCGGTGCAACAGCAAAAAGAATGAAATGATGCACTTCCTTTCATTTCCTACTTTTTCCTTTTCCTCTCTACGTTTGTTTACCTAATTACTTTTCTTGTTGGTATTTTACGGTATGTTTCTTGCAAAAATTGTTAAACACAAACCGAGATCGTCGCGTAAAACGACGCGTTTTCTGCTGTTGCAAAAAGCAAAGCAAGACAAGCAAAGAACAAAGGCCACATGGAGCCAACAGATTCAATTTAATCATGAATCATTGCCTACACAAAGTAAAATGTTGATATTCCCAAACGGTTTTAAGTGCTTCGAAAATTACTCTCATTACATCCTGTTTTCCATCTAATGTTTGCCGAGCTTCGATTACACGGTAGAAAGACTGCAAGTAAAAAGAAATCATTATCAGGAATCGAACCCTATTCAAATTTTTTCCAAGCAAAATATTGCATAGACGTAGAAATTGGTTGATTGAGAGAGCGATCAGACATCACTAGCTACAATAGCTCAAGTTAGGCGGAAAACCAGAGAAGCATTAAAATTAGCAAATGGCTAGAATCATCCAAGTATTCCAATAACAATTGATTATTTTCCTTTGCATCATTGCATCATTGCATGGATAGGCGCTTAAAATTACACTGGATATGAATCCAAAACCTTGAAGCATAAATACATTCTGCAGCAACGCAGGGAGCGTAGAATTAAACACTTCGAAATTCAGATGTCAGAGACCTCCTTTGCATTACTGTCTTCTCGACATAAATTGTCTAAATTCTGTGCATGGAAATGTCTGCTGATTTTGATGAGAGAAAAGGTGGAGAGTGTTTTCCGTTTACATTGAGGAAAAATAATCTTCTTTCTGATGTATACATGTTTTCTTCTGCACTCATGGACGCTTCCAGAGGAGTGAAACTGGCTGAAAAATTTGCAACAATACCGAGACCAAGAGAAAGAGACATGCAAAGCTCTCTCCCTCTATTGAAGCTGTTAGTAAGTCTTCAATATTTAATCAGTTACTCTTATTACTAATTCCTACAGCCTTGGAGAAAACGTTTATCCAATTTAGTGACGTAGAAATCAAGCAAGACTGACACGGGAATTTTCCTAAATCAAGTTAACTTTATAATTATGGGCCTATAATGTAGACTCTTTATAGCCGGGGAGAAAGCTAAGGTAGGTGTATGATAAGTATTAAGATAACCAAAGACATACATGTTAAGGCTCTTTAACCTAGTACACAATAATACTGATTGTAATAATGATTTGGAGGAAAGAACGTGCAACTCCGGATCGCCAGCTATCAACGAAGATATAGAGCACCTATTATAGAACTCTTTTAAGGATACAAATATGAACCGCAACAGAAATCCTAAAAAAAAAGAATCGCAAGCCAAGACGAAGCTAGTGAAAGACGCAAGATCAGTCGGTCTAACTGACACAAGTACAGAGAGTGTGGCCTCAGTTTCTGGAGGTGGCCGATGACAAACAATTTGAACTTCCATTGTCGCAAGATGCTAGTTAATGCATTTTGTATAAGCCATGATCCTTGGCGGAAATCTGCTTGCTTTCAAATGTTCCAGTTAAAGCAACAAAAAAACTGAATAGACCATAGAATGTCTACTCTGTTTAATAAATTTATCCAGTACAAATCATTTACCTTGCTGTCAAAGGAGATACGCCTCGATAACTGATCTCCTCTTTTACAAGGATCTCGCTAAAATCATTCTTTTCCTTCACAAATTCCAGTAATAACGCTTAAAATTAGCTTAAGATCAACTTGCAGCTTCCTTTTCTTGGAGGAACTGCGATCGAGTTCATGCTATAAACAGTAAAATGAAACGAATTCCGATTGACCGAGGAAACAACGCTTCTTAAATTTACATAAGGTATGCTTGATTCCCAGTAGCGGAAATGGACCACTAAAAACACTGAAAAGCTTGAGACTGAGTCGTTCTCGGTTCTCATCTAGTACAACCCATGACTGAGCAGCCACTTGACAGCTTGGCTCAAATGCTTGTGATAAACACATAACCGTGTAAGAGAGCAGTATGAAATGCAGCACACTTCACCAACAATAGCCAATATAAGGCGACAGATGTCCCCGGTGTGCCCTGCTTTAAAGGCATGCAATTAATAACAATGTTCTAATGAATGGTTGGTTTCTTGATTAGAAATAAATATCATTACTTTGTTAAAAGGAAAACTCCCTAATAATTGCATTCTTTCCGAATTCTAAGTACGGTTATAAGTGAAGATAGAAGTAAGGATTATTAGCACAACGATGAATTGTGTTTTAGTTCGCAACTACATGATGAACTGTGAGGACAAACTGAGCCACCACTATGCCGTGGTATTAGTTTTATCCTAAGACACACCTATACAATAATCTTACCTGAAGCTCACGAGAAAATGCCGGCAATGAATGGATTTTCATCGGCTGTACTAAGGAAAAGGCACAAAAAAAGGTCTGGAAACAGGAAACGCATTTAAAATCTTCGAAGTGCATCAAAATGCTGATAAAAATAAATTATATTTAGGAAAGGAAAAAGGTTTGAAAAAGACGAAGAGGATGCATGCTGCATGTGCTATTAGTATGCGCACTCGCAGCAAAGCAGCAGACATACACCAAGCTGTTAATAAAGCAAACGTTTTCCAGTTGATTTATTTGTGTTCGTAAATTCCCTGCTGTCGTTTGTTAGAGTAAGAAGAAAACAATACTCAGCGCACGATCATTCCGTTTCTTCTGTGGCCCTTCATGGTGAATATTTTGAAAGGAAATCGCGGAAACTTATCTGCCTTCGTCCTGTAACATAAGGATAATGTTCGGCTTTATTCTTTACTATTATCGAGAAGAAACCTAAAGAAAAAAACCAAAAGAACATAACAAACCAGATTCAATACCCAACTGCAACTTTGTGATCACATGGTAATAAAATGACATGAAGGTGGAGTAAAAGACGGCATGGCGAAGAATTATCGTAACCGCACAAGAAAGAAAAGTATGCAGGGTAACTTCGGGTCGGACTTACCACACGTAATTGAAAAGCTGTAATAGTGCCAGTTTTTGAGGCCCTGTGTATCTGTGTGTTTTGTCAGTAATCACATGATGCTCCACAGAACGTTTACGGCAAGACCATCAACAGTCGTTGGCTTCAGCAAATGATTTACGAGTCAAAAGCTTACAAAAAGCTAAAACGCGAGCAACACAATTGCTGACCATCGATTAAGGTCCCAACGAATCTTAACTCTATGCTGCACTTGACGCATTTTTTAGCTCTAGTGCATCACGGATCTACTTCTAAATGAAATACGAACCCAAGAAACAAAATTGTATACACTGAAGCAGCAGAATCTACTTGGAAAAACATCTTACAGCACTACAGCTACTTTCAAACGGTACGGTTGTAGATCTTTACTGCTTTATAAATACTTAGTAATCATTACTGACCTTTGTCAACTCCCTTGCCCGATCAAAGAAAGAATTGCCACTTAGTGTGGTTTTGTATTTCACCTTCGTGATGTTACACGAAGTGAAAATTCAACTGAGTCTCACTTAGTAAATATGAAAACCGATCATAAATCTTTCCGTCTTCGACTTTTCGCCATCTTTCCTTCAATTCATGTTAAACAGCTCTAGCCCGGCCAGTAGTTCGAGTAGGCCTAACCTCTCGTAAGCTCCTATAGTTTCTGTTAGGTCTCCTCGACACTTCTCTTTTCTACTTTTCCTATATTATTTGTATTTTTTATTATTAATTTCGCGTATGTTTTATGAGAAAAAAGTGGAAAATGTTTTTCGACTACATTCTAAACAGTATATATATACATATAGATAAAAAATAAAAACTACTTATTAATATAAGTATTCACCCACGTTTTGGGTTCCGCAATAAAGGCGACACGAACGAGAAAAACTGATAACCTCGATCCATTAAAGATTCGTACGATTATTATGAGTTCGTGCCTGAGTAATCCATGCCCTGTTTGAAGATAAATTTGTCTTTTTCACTCCATTTTCTATCTTTGGGGCATTCCCTTTTCTTTACCAAAGACCTAACCATAATCTATCTCTTCCTTAAAGAATCGACCCAATTGATCTGGTAGATGAGATAGAGTGTACACACTGTAATGCAAACTTCATCGCACAAATGTTTTACTACTGATCTATTACCTGCATACCCTACTGAGTTTTAAAATGCTACAAAGCTCGAAATGGGTTGATCTCAAAATCCTAGGTGTAATCTTAGTAGCCCTGCCTGACTAATTGTGCCCACGACTTTCTGATTAAGTTCGGCCGATATTCCTTGTATAGCAGAGCAAACATTGCAAGGTAACAACCGAAACTGAGAGTTCTGCTCACTCAATATTAACTGCTTACTTAGCTAAGCTTTCGTTGGTCCGTTAACTATAGTGCACATAATATTTTCCCATGATTGGATAACCCCCGTGTAACTCTCCTCACCTTACATAAATGGCAATATAAAATGTTCGCAGTCAAATTCATTCGGTAGAGAAACCCACCGCAAATACATTCGAAGTAACATTTCCACGCAGTGCTTTGTAGAACTAACCACCTTGGTAAGTGGACTGCTTGAAATAAGACAATAACTTGCTTACCCGACTAAAATAAGGGTACGGTTGAATGGAAGCAGATAGGCTCCAAACATGAGGAACATGCTCCAATTTCTGGCTGAGTCAGTCAAGCGATGTCATAATTATTTTCACTCTATTCTTTGGACAGTTGTAGTTTAGAATCAAATAGCCTCATCTTTGGTCTTTTACGCCTTGCATAACTGCCTAAACAAACAATAAGTGATATGTGTTGCGCTGCACGAAAACAGATGAGATGTGCGAAGGAAACAGAACATGGAAGGACTTAAGCAGGTCTTTAGCTTTTCCATTTTCATTTTCTGTGGAGATCAAAACACCAAACATATATGGTTTCTCGTGTAAAACAGTTAGCCTTGTACAGGTAAAGTGCATAATAGACAAAATTACCCACAATAAATATTCCTCTGAGTTGCTCTTCTCGAAAACGTATAAGATGTGCGCATTAACAAAAGCAATACAGAAGATTTCCTCATCTCGGGTATTTATGATTGATCAGCTTTTCTTTTCTTGGCCAATTTTTGAGCATTAATTAGATTCTTCGAGTAAAAGTGATCCTCTGTCGATTGAACACGTTACTTGGGTGCAAAATTGACCGCCTCCAATTGTACGAATGAAGTGTTAACTTTAGTTTCATGCTCCAACAGAAACGTATGTGTGATATGATGTCCTGTAAGCCAGTTTTCTTTCTTTCTTTTGGCTTTCCTGATGCAAATCCTGCAAATTCAGCCGATGAGTTTATTTGTTTCATGCACTTCCCTCGGCCAAGGTCCATGCTTATTGCTACTGAAGAAAACTTAAAAGACTGTTCAAGGAAGAGTTTCCGTTGGTATGTTCGAATTAAGGGCACCCAACGACTGTTTACTGTGAAATATCTGTTCGGAGAAGCAAATATGGCCTAGAATTTTCTATTACTTGAGGACAGCTAAAGTTTCTAGATGACTGTTCCACTCATGTACAATTTTCGAAGCTTAAATATCTAATAGAATCCCTACGATTTTCTCAAGTTTAATTTTCACATTTCACTTGCCAAGTTAGGCTAGTTTCGTAGGGAAAAGGAAACCTAACATTTTAGGACTCAAAAATGCAATGGAGAGAGAAATCAGAAAACATCTCACTTTCGTAACCCGTCAAATTGCATCTAAAATTTATAGCCCTTGTAGTTTCGAAAAGACTCAAGTTTCCCTAGGATGACCGAACAGATACAAATAATATTCTATAGCGCCGCTTAGAATGCATTTTTAGACATCCAAAAGTACTCCGGATAGCCTTATAAGTGTTATCCATGCATTTAAGAGGAAACCGTCGTTGGGTACCCCTGAGTGCATAATAGATAAATACCTCTTCACGAAAACGTACAAAAGATGTGCGCATCAAAAACAGTTCTCGAAGATTTCCTTATCTCACATTTAAGATTGATCAGCTTTTCTTTGCTTGGCCAATTTTACTGCATTAATTAGTTGTTTTCTACTACAAAGGAGATTCTTCTAGTAAAAGTGATCCTCTGTCGATTGAATAAGTTTCTTGCATAAATTCATCGGGTGCAAAATTGGCCTCCTCCGATTGTACGACTGAAGTGTTAACTTTAGTTTCATGCTCTTACAGAATAAATATCTCTCCTTTCTTGAACCTTGGACTAAACATATGTCTGATATGATGTCCTATAAGCCACTTTCTTCCTTTCTTTTGGCATTCCTAATGCAAATCCTTCAAATTCAGCCGATGAGTTTATTTAATTCATACACTTCTCTCGGCATAGCCCATGCTTGTTGTTATTGAAGAAAATTTATAGGGCTATTCAAGTAAGAGTTTCCGCTGGTAGGCTCGTATTGTCATCGTCATTACAGCTATGTATGTTGGTTCAACCTCCCAATAATATGATGGCTGCATTACAATGGCGATGGGCCTATTACTTTTCAGAGTACGCTTCGAAGGCTGCTTGTAGATACAATGTATCTCGTTCTCATGAAGGAAAACTCAAAACCTACCAAGATACATAAAGACAAAGTCGCTCAGAAGTTTATAGCTAGGTACAGACTTGAGAACAAAACTGAAATACGCCTGTAAGTTTCTCGCTAATTTGCTGTCCAAGGCCAGCCGTCAGTCTATAGGCATTGATAATGCTGCCTCGATCACTGAGGGTTAAATTTCTCAATGGAGAAAGCATGTTCATCTGTAGCATGTCTCCACCACAAAATGTGGTTGGTATAAGCAATGATCTTTGATGGAAATCAAACACTGCCTTTTAATTTTAAAATTAAGCAATCTGTGCTTGTGTGAGTAGACAATGCCTCTGGTCTCTTTCCACTTAACTTATAAAAACTAATCCTAGGCTTGCAAATAGTAATACTTCAATTTAACTGAGGTTTGCAAATTAAGTCACTAACATTGGAGCACTGTTTCGGTCTATCCACTGCAATTCATGGGCTCATGGTATTAAATTATTTCCCCTGAACTATCAAGAAAATGTCTCAGTTATGTTGAAGCAAGGAAGGTCACGCTGGAAAATTACTCTCACTCCACTTATACGCAGTCATCTTTTTTCATAAATTCTCTATAGTAACGTGGAATTTTTTCACGTCAGTTTTGCAGCCAGTAGAGCTAGCTGTATGTTACGGTAACAACGACAACAATTTTTATCGTACCCAAATCGTTGCTGTAGTTCTGATCCATTCCGTCAATAGAAAGATTAGACGTCATAAGATTAACCCCCATTTATTTTTCACTTTGTTTACAACAAGAAAGCTTATCAGGAGTAATGGCTATCGAACCAAATTGTCATAAAGCACGTTGAGCCACATACAACTGAACCAACGAACTATATTCAGTTGTTGTTGTCGTTTTCTTAACCAGTTTACTTTCAGAAATTCTCTTTTTCTAATCGCGGCTATTTTGCGGACAAAATGAACACTAACAAAGCGCAGCAAGGGGTGTACTTGCAAGTCATAATCTATGTCATGTACCTATCTGTAATGCACATTTGTTATCTGTTAAAGTAATAAACTAGTAATTTGCTTCGTAATTATTACGTTCTTTGTTGACGATTCATTCTTGCAGTTCTCGAGATTTAAAATGAAGGCTTACAAAAAACGTGAAAAGATGACTTCCCTGTCTATCAATCTCTTCCTATGACAAAAGATTTAAACCGTAAAATAATGAGTATATAATTGTGTCTGTTTCGTTTCACCCACGTTTTGGGTTCTACAAAAACTGAGAACGACACAATCGACCAAAACTGATCTCGATCCACGCAAAGTTAAGATTCAGTTGTGCAGCCAGAGTGATCCATGGCCATAGATAATTAATTTCATCTTACACACCTCGTTTTCCTTTTTTTCGGAAAATGGCCAATTGCTCCTACTCTAACCATGGTCAATCGCTTCTTGTCTAAAATTTCCGTGATTCTCTTCATAAAGCTTTTCAGCAAGATGAGAAGAATTACGTTCCAAATTGTGAATCTACACAAATTGATCAGGGAAATGACATTCAGTTATTGAGTAGTGTGTGGTAGAAGTCTTTTTGGTTCTATAGACACTGTAATGCCAAATGTCATGGCACAAAATGCTCACTGATTTAGTTACTAGCATACGCTATTGATCTGAAGTGCTACAAAGCTCGATCTAGATTGATCTCAAAATGTTAGGTTTAATTTTGACAGTCCTACGTGACTCATAGCCTCCACAGTGCAACTTGCCGATTGAATCGATTGAAAACATGTTATTTCTTGAAGAATAGAGCAAACCATTCTAAGGCAACGCACAGAACTGACAGTGTTGCTCACTCAATGCCACATGCTTATCTAGCTAAGCTTAGTCAACGAATGTTGCACATATTTTCGGATATTTTCACGACCTTACCTAAATGCCAAAATCTAAAATGCCAGAAATATTGTTCGCAGTCATGTTAATCAAGAATTACTCAGACATTATTGAGAATTATTTACCACTAAAAAAGAAAGTTTCCAACGCTGTACATGCTTTTATTATAGAAGTAGCATTTCTTTTATGCGAGAATGCTTGAAATAAGACATAGCAACTTGCTCGCCGAGTTGAAAATATGAGTCTAATTGGGGCAGATAGGCCCATCCTACGAAATAAGGAGAAAATGTCCTTAATTACGCGATACGGCATGACCAAATGATCTTCCATATGCAAATGGAAAGTTTGACACATCAGATTTCTTCAGCAATCAAGTTGTATAACATTTTTACACTGCACGAAAACAAAACGTAACGCTGAACAGTTACCAAGTTGGTTATCTGCTAGCTAAAAATAACAACGAGGATAATATAAATGCTTAATGGACTTGGCATCACAATATTTCAGTTACAACCTGCTTGTTCCGAATGACGAAACTGTAAACTGCAAACGGGAGACCAATTGAAAGTCCCCGAAATACGCAGACCGAATAAAAATGGTAGAAGGAAAAGGGTTTTTAGGATCTGTAACGTGATACAAACAAAGAGTGTGGCAAAAATATGTCAGAGGGTCACTTGTTCACTATAGCACAAATTCAAATTTGGGGCATCGTGCATAAATATAATATGTCCATAACTACAAAACTAGATATGCAACCAATCCAAACTTATATAAACCTCGTGTAAGAACGAATACTGGCAAGCAAATGAGTTCATTTAAGGCAATAGATCTTTGGAAAAGCATTCCACAACACCTTGAAGAACTGAATGAGTTCGCTGAATAAAAAAAAACAAACATCATCTACTGTCCGAACAATACTTGTCGAAACCTAACACTACCTATTTCTGCCTAGACTCACTTCTTTTAAAACTTGTCCGTATTACTTTTTAAATAAATCTTTTGTATTTTGTTTAATTGTTATCAATTGTATTAATTGTTCTTTTCTTTTCTTTTCTTTTCTGCCAATCACTACTAAATGCTGCCTAATGATTTCGTGACAAAACACTGTACTATAATATTCAAGATAGGCGAAGTGTTATCATTATGTTTCCGTTTCAAAAATACCAAACAAACAAGTTTAGTTCTCAAGAAGTAAAAGTAAGACCTTTTCTAAACAATGATCACTAAGAGGTACGGCAAGTTTCTACTATTATATTGCACATCGTGAACTACTGCATGCACTGTTTATCCCCTACGTACAAGAGCGTGTTTTCTTTTGACTTCTGTTGTGTGATTCTGACAAGCACTAAAATATGACTGAGCGGTCATGAGAAGTCGGGGGCAAGGAGGGGGGGCTTACTTATGTGAGTGTGCACTTTCTGATTAAAACAATTTTTCCTTGGTTAATGATTGAAATAACCATAAGTCCGAGTTCTAATAATAACTTTAAGAAGTGTTGGAAAAGACTTTCTAAGTTTGTAAATGTAAATGCGCAGCGTGATGTCATATAGCCAGAAATTTATTTTGATTGCTATTCTACTGGAGTCTTTTTTACCACTGAGCGATCTACCAACGAATTGGTAGTCAAAACAAAGTTAGTATATAACAGAAAAGAGTTACTAAAACACTCGCAGTAGGCTGATTTGAGCTAATGCATAATTTTTCACAGGTCTTTTTTGCTTAAGGTTTGCTTCGCTTCATCATTTGTATTCCAGAAACCTTTCGCACCATATTTTGAAATATCGCAAAAGGAGGAAAAATAACACCCCTTATTTCGCAACAAATAATAAAAAAAGAATTAAATATAAGGTATTATATCGAGCAGTGCACATTTTTAGGGTTTTCACGCTGTAATCGCGTTAAATATGGCGACCAAGAAGTGAATTAAATACAAGAAATAGATTCAAGCCTTTCTACCATTTGTACCTGTCTGTAAGTAACTGGTACATACCTAGAGCAGGCGCTTGGACTTTAATTTATTCATCTGACTACTCCTCAGGTTCCCCAGGACTCACAACACTGAAACAAATGAACAGTAGGTATTGATGTGGCACATGCAAATGGCTCAAACCAAACGAAAAGACCTTTTTGCCAATGGAGTCATTTTAAAACTACCATTAGAATTTTTTCTCTTTTCCTCCTATTCAAATTCATTTGCCCAGGTGACAAGCCTAATTTGGGCACAGAAAACGAAATCCTGAAGCACTCTGGTTACTAAAGTGTACTCGACTGTAAAATGACGCCATGATGGAAACGGCTTTTACACGTACTGTTCTAAGAATTGCCTTTTTACCTGTTGTATTTAGCTGTGTGAACAACTGGGGAAAACCATTACACACTTCGTTAACACCGTGCAGTTCAAAAAAGCCGTGGAAATCAGCTTATCCTTTAAAATGTGCTTTCGCAAACTGACATAGTCAGTCAGCGGCGGTGGTGTGGGTTTAGATTTAGGAGTGGGTGGTTAGTGGGGGATTGTTTTGCACAATGTCTGCTTTCACAGCAGCAATCGTGGCAAAAATGATCCAACAATAGATTAATATGACTTATAATATTCGACAAATTTGCTTACCAGTTAAAAACCAGATTTCAGCTGCATGTTCAACTGTGAAAATATTATTCCAGTAAGACTCCGGAACTCTGGAACTGGGCAGGAGGGAAGGGGGGTTGCTCAAAAGGTTCAAAGGGACTAGAAGGTACCATGTTCGGTATTTTTATTGCTGATTTAGCCTGTTTGGTCAATTAAGGTGGCCTTAAATTTATCTTTTCATCCATGCTTCCTTACAGCTGTTCTGCTTGTCTAGTCTAAGGCTTAAAGGTGTTATTTTATTGGTGTTTAAGTCGGTTCTCTGACCAATCAGAAAAGTGCACCTAATCCTACCGGTTCTGTAATGCAATCAGTGAATCCTTGATGTAAAGAATATTACTTTGAGATGCATAGACCCTATGAATACCAACCTGTTTACAAATAGTTTTACTTTTAACTTGACATTACTTTTCATTACACGAGAAAAGACAGACTCCCACAAAAACGTAAAAATATTGCATTTACGTACCCTATGGAAAAATAATACTATATAGATATCTGCTGTATTCAAAGGCATAATGTCGTTTTACCCGAGGAATGATTTATTACAAAAGCCACTAATTTTTCGCTCATGCTAACTTCAAAAGATAATTTATAGGGTGGGCTTGTGATAAGGCAATATTGGGAAAGTCTGTAATACAGTCAACTAAATTCTGAATAAATTATTTGTTGAAGAAGCTTTGAAAAGTTTCAACAAAACAGAGGTTAGGCAAATTAGCTTTATGTCGAAACTTGTGACACCTTTCCTTATTCGGTTTGGATGGTGTTACATGTCATGGCCTGTAGATGAAGGCACCCCTAACCTGGGCAGAGTGGGGTTTGTCTCCTATTTGTCCTGACAACAATAAATAATTCTTAATGTCAGCTGATCCTATGTATTTTTTCCTAGTGTCTGGGTTTGAAAATCTCAAATCCGCTACGGCACCCACTTAACTAAACTCAAGTCAATTAAAAACTACTTTCCCACGTTCGTTCTCATGCAATGTGTATTAATGTTTGTTCTTTGTTTGTTTTTCTTATTTAGATGGATCACCCCAGTCCTTCTCCAGGTGTCGAGCATAACGCGATGAGTGTTTCCTCTGAGCTAAGACCATTATACAGACTTGCTTCAAATAAAGAAGAGTGTACAGAAGAGGAACTGAATAGCTTAAGTAATCCGGAAAAACAAGTAATATTCAGTTTTCAATCCAAAACTAACAGTGCCCATATTGGCCAAGAATGCTTCATCCATTGTCCGTGTAAATGCCACCCGCCATCTTCACTGCCTTCTGTGAATGAGAATCGGCCTTCTGTGATAATGGCTCCAGTGGCCAGACTCGTTTCCCCTAGTAGACACTGTGTAAAGGGCGAATCCTACGTCCATTTGATATTTTATTTACTCCCAGTATAATATGGTTGAGGAGCCATACCTTTCCCGAAAACATATGGGTCACGGTATAGTAGCGGCTATGCCATGCTGATGCCGTTCCTAATAAGGTGTCTATGGCTGCCACTGCCGGGTTAATATGGCTGTGCGCATGCGTAAGCTACTGGCCATAGGCGGAGTTGGTATGTGTGTTTCAGTGCTGAAAATGGTATTATTCAATATCATCTGGGTTACCTATAGCTATGGGGAGGACATTATTAACTGCCATAACCGTCGGATGCCCTAGCCTCCCATGCATACTTTCTTAGGGCTTCGTCATGCCTTCTCGCCCTATGTTCATGGGGCAGCAACACGTAACAAAGCCCAAATAGCCTGTTTCAGGCATTCAGATAGTGAGGACGGCGCAAAGAGCTGTGAACAGAAAAATAATTTTTCTCCTCTCTTCGCGACGCACTCAACTATCTAAACGCCTGAAACAGGCTAAAGCACAGAGGACGTCTGTGTGGGAGGCTATTGGATACTCGTGAGTATCCTTTAAGTTTGCCTGTACTTGAAACACGCCAAAAAAAACGAAGCTAAAAGAAAGAACATTTTAACCTTCTCACCGGCCCCAATTTGTTCCACTGGGGTGGACTAAGGGGGCTCACTGAACTCCTTAAGAAGGGGAAGAAGGCAAGGTTAGTATGGGCTAGGAGCTTAGTAAAGTGCAAATTCAAAACTGCCTTTTCAACAACATTTTGTACCAAAAATGTAAATGAAACATTAGTAAATGAAAATTGCTCCAAAATAGTGGGAAATAGGAAAAAAGAGCAGGATCGTTCAATTTATTCAGTGTCTTACTTGATTAATAAGAGTTTGCGCATTGCATCGTGCTCAATATCAGGTCACCCAAAGTAAGGACTCCCACACATTATATCTGAGCTTTAAACTGTAACGAGAGGAAATTTCACTGCGTCGAGCGGTCTTTCGGCCTGTCAAACCAAATTGGCGGGAACGTTGAACTGGGAAAACAACGGAACTAAAGCTTTTCGCGAGGGCGCGAGAATTAGCAAATAGTGATCTGCTAATGGAAGTTTTTGACAGGGGAAAATGCAATTCGGTAGAGCGACTGGCTCGCTGCTGGCACTCGTTACTGCTGCCAGAGGTACAGGGTTCTAACTTCCACGTCCCAAGGTACGAAGGTTGGACAAGAACTGAGACTTTTATGTAATGCTGCAACTTCTTTATTATAGAGTAAACCTCGTAGATAGCACTTCACATGTAATCGTAGGTAATCGTGCAGGTAATGGCAGGCTAGGTAATCATCGCAGGTAATCGATTTACAACAGTTTAAGCACTACTTTTATACAGTCTACAGTAAACACAGGTGTTCGACTATCACAAAGGAACACAAAAACCTATTCAAAAATACACGTGCTAGCTGATCAATGCGTTACAATTCGATTGGTTAAAAGACTTTTCCATTAAGGTGAAAATACAATAATTCCTATTACGGTTCCTGGACTTTTAGAAAAACACGTGTTGTAAATCAAGCTGAATGAACGGAGCACAACAGTTGTTCCTTTGAAATGTAAAAGAGTTCTTGTCTAACAAAGAGACACGTACAGAAGTACACTTGTTCTATTGAAATTACAGGTGTTCCAATATTTGTACACGTGTCACTGCCTGCTATTTCAAATTTGAATAATACACATATCTCAGCTGCGGAGTTTCGAAAGACACAGAAGAGCTTAAACTAGATTTGCTGAGTAGTGTAGAATTGCTACAATAACGCTCTGGTGAAACTGAGTTCCGTTTTAAAGATATCATTGAAATATCGGCCGTGACAAAACCTATATGGATCTCCAAACGGCCTATAGGTTTCAATGGATGGACTGGATAGTCTGCTTTTAATGAACTGTGATGATATATTAACCGAAATCATGTTAGTTTTGTGGAGTTTTTTTACAGTTTTTTTTTAAATAAACGCCTCTATCTCTTAGACGCCTTCCATCTGATTAAACACCGCCGCTTCGGCTCCAGGGCGTCTCACAGTAACTGTACATACAAAGTCATACCGTCTACTACAGCCGACTCCCAATAACTCGAACCTTCGAGGGAAATCGAAAAAAGTTCGAGTTATCGGGAATTGTAAGCAAATAAGCAAATGGATGTGGAGGGAATGCAATTAAGCAACAAAGTATCCAAGGATGGACACTAAATTTGAACCGGAGTGACAAAAAAGGAAAGACAAAAATAGACTCGGTTGTTTCAAATAAATTCAATGTTTCGCACTTCAATAAACGGTTTTTTCCCGTCTTTTCACGCGCTTATAACATGGTTCGAGTGATCGTGAGTAAAATTGTATAGAAATGACCTGAAGGCCGGGTCCGAAAGGTAACAAAAATTACTTCGAGCTAGCGGAAGGCTCGAGTTATCGAGAGTTCGAGATACTGAGGGTAAAATTACAGTAAATGTATGAAGGAAATCCAGGGGAAATCGACTTTGGTTCGACTAAGCGCCGGATTCGAGTTAGCGAGGGTTCGAGTTGTCGGGAGTCAACTGTATATCTCATTTGCAATCATCAGGCATGTGGGGGATACGTTTGACTCCTCTTCCAAATAAGGTGTACATTTTGTCTCAAAAAAGGCTCATAAAGGCTCCATATTATGTCAAAGGTTATACGTGAAACGATCTGCATTAGAACGATCTGACCATGCATGGAACGGAATGACCGGATCAGGAGGGGGACGGATACCCTTTCGATAGGTATTTTGCCGTCTTTGAGTAGCTCCTTCGATGTGTTTACGATTACATTTAAAAATGGCTACAGACATGGATGAGTTCACTTGAATCTTTCTCAGCGATGATTCAGGTGACGATTAGTCTTATTGTTTCACCGGACATTCATGCAACAAATTATTGCAAGATATTCGTGAAAATTTTTCTAGTTTCAATTGTCTACCAAATGGCTAAGTGAAGATAAAACAAGCATCTAAAAAGCATAATTAAAAAAAATTCAGTAAGTTCAAGGAAAATGAGCTGAAAAAATTTTGGACAGCCTAAATAACTAGAAAAATGGGTACATTTTTGAAGTTGGCCGGGCTGCAGTTTCCTTCCTAGGTTTTTTTTGGGGGGATGGGGGTGGGGTGGAGTGGATCAGGTGCAGGGCTTGTTCTTTTTACTGACCACCACCCCTCCCCCCATTCCTCTTCGCCAGACGCTGTAACACAAGCTCACACAATTTTAGTACAACACTCCACACCTCTTCACGGTACTTTTTAAATTAACACTGGATGAGGCCACACTAGAGAAAGTACGGCACCGTAAGTGGATTCACGGTAATCTCACCGGGGAGACTCCCGTATGAAAGGAGCGGGGACGCACGTCGTCTCACTTAGGGATGTAAATTTCGGATTTTTGTCTCCATTAAGTTTAGGGTGTTCTGGGCAAGACGCCATTATATTTAGCCATAAAGGTTTCTTTTAGCGTTGCACGCGAACAAAAATTACATATTTTCAATTCGTTCTATTTACTCAATTCATGTAAAAAAAGTTTGAAATGGTCTCTTTTTTGGGGGTCAAAAAAAAGGTTGGGCCACGCCCAGATTGGTCTCCTTTCGGGTTCTAACTCAAAATATCCGAAACAAAACTGAATGCAGGGGTGGCACTACGGCAAAGAGCTGATTTATTATAGGCCAATATTATTAACCACTTATGTAAATTTTAAATTCAAATTTTAGGAGCCGTTGAAAGATATTTTCTCTCAGTAAAGCTCTGGCCCTGAGGAAGGCTAATTTTGTTGGCCGAAATAGTGGCCTATAATAAATCAGCCCTTTGCCGTAGTGCCAGCCCTGCAGTCAGTTTTGTTTTATTTTACACTTTAAGTGACGTCTGGCTACAGCATCTTTAATTAGAGATCCGGCAAGAGGAACCAGTCAGTTATATTTACGCGTTGCGTGGACCTCTGCATTCAAACAGTTTTTCAAAATAGCTGATTAGCATCCCCGCCCCTTTCGGATGGGAGTCCCTCCCCCGGGAGGAATCTTTTCTCTGGTTAATTTCCATGTTCCATGACTACGGCGGAAAGGACAAAGATGACCAATCACCGATATGCATCGGGGTTTAATACCAAAAGAATAAGGTCTCAACGCACGTGAGTCCTCAAGTTAGATTCATGAGGGGACACAAAGGGCTTGCACTGTAAGTATCCCGGAGAGCTCCATACAATTCCTTATAATTTTGTTATAAGGAATTGTATGGAGCTTTCGAGGAGACTTTTCATGCGTCCGAGCCCAGCAGGAGCATTAAACCGTGTTAAAACGGAAAGAGAGGTTTACAGGAGGGTCTGTCAAGAAGCGGAAACCAACTTCAAGACACCTGAAGAGCAAATAGATTTGGATGAACGTCATGAACCCTGTTCCCTGGACACAATGATACATTATTCGTTCCACTTTGCCCAACAAATCCATATTCCTAGCGATCCCATGTAGCCAGGACTGATTTATTTTAAGACACCTCGCAAGTGTGGAATTTTTGGTGTTATGAGTGAAGCAATACCCTGACAAGTAAACTATCTAATTGACGAGACAAGTGGTGTTGATAAAGGAGCAAACACTACCGTCAGCTATGTTCATCCCCATTTGCAGAACTGTGAACTTGGTGAAACACAAGTTCATCTTCATGCAGACAATTGCTCGGGACAGAACAAAAACAATTACTTTATCTGGTACCTAGCATGGAGAACAATCATGCACTTGCGCGAATCAATCAATTACTCCTTCCTAATTGCCCGTCACACAAAGTTTGGCCCTGATCGCAGCTTCGGAATGATCAAAAGAGCTTATAAAATGAATTTTATTTCCTCCCTATACGAGTTTGTGGACATGGTGGATGGTTCAAGCCTCACTGGTGCTAACAAAACACAACTGGTCGGAACAAACACGACAGAAGAAACATTGTACCAGCTTACAATTGGTCTTCATATCTGGAGAACTATTTCATCAAATTGCCGAACATAAAAGATAAGTATTGTGTAACAGGCCAGTTCAACAGAGCTCGCTCCCATCATGACTTCCTGCTTGGTGAGGGTTGATTTTAGAGTTATATTTTATTCATTGGTCATGTTATAAAACACCAGCGAATCGATGGTTGAAAAAAACTTTACCACTGAATTAGTTTTTATGTCAAAATTGAAACACTTTTTCACACGATGCTCTTTTTTCGTTTTTTCATATCTTAGCAAAGTTACAGTCAGGACACAGAATCAAGCTGCATTTACTTAACCGCTGATGGAACATCGATCTGCGAAAATGACTCCCATCTTTTGACAATAGACGAAGATGCTTTGAGCAGGATGCAGGAACTATTTCCAGTCAGCCCAGTTGTGCTGCCAACTGAACCACTGCAGCCAGCTCTTATCAACAACAGTTCCACACCAGCGACAGAGGACCTCGTTCGCAGTTGTGTGACTCCTCGAAAGGTACAGCGTGTCCGTGAGACTCGGCAGCCTGGGACAGATCTGTACAAGTGTGCCATCAAGCTTCTTCCCAACTTTTTCACACCAGCTGAACTGGCAATGAACAACATGAACGGAAATTTTGGCAAACAACTGCTAGACAAGACTAAACTCCATACTCTGAAAGGTAATTTATATCAATTGAGTCTGGTTCCGTACAGTCACGGTCGCTTAAAAGGAAGCTTTTTTTGTAACAACCGGTTTCACAAGTGGTGGTAGAGCTGATCTCATACGAGAGTGGTGAAGTGATCTGTTGTTTAAAAATAGCGTATATTGATTTCCTCTTTTCTTTTTCTTTAGTGTTGATCTTCACAACGTTTCCAGTTGGTCCCGAACATATGCAAAATAAATGCCAAGTGTCGGTCGAAGAGATTTGAATGTGCTCTCCGCGAGAAATAATCATTGATTCCTTTTTTCGTAAGGGTTTACATTGTAAATAGAAATCTCCTTCTATCAACGTTTTCAGAGCTTTTAAAATTGTATTCGTAATTCTTTGAAATAATTCCACATTTGTTTTGGGTTCAGTCCCATTTGTTAATAAAGGCTTAAGTAAATTCCTGGGAACATTTTGTTTGTTTAAATCAAGGAATAATTGAGAGCATGGTAATAATTACCTTGTGAACGACCTCTGTGGTAGACAAAAACGGCGAGCAAAGTTAGCTCGGCTCGCTTGGCTCACCAATTTTTTCGCGCTATATTTCCTCAACAGCGTTTTTTCTCTGTATTGGAGTTATTGTGGGGCTATGTAATGCCAGAAATATGCAAAGTTTCAAGCAGAACACTTAAAAGCCCATCTTTGCCAATTTTTGAGGGCTCGACTTGTGGAAAAAATTGCAACTTTATCGCACGCGTTTACTTTTGCAGACTAGATAAACAACTGAATACAGTGTTGTCAATTGAAAGAGCGTGATATAAACCAATACAAATGTATGGTGAATTGTGAATGAAACTTCCCTTCGATAAAATAGGCAAGTAAGCAGAGAAATTGACATGCTGTGACGATTGAAATAAATAATTATATTATACAATAATACAGATGAGGAGTGATCATGATGTTCAATTTTGTTTGGACTCAAGGTGTTGGAATTGTCTACCTGAGCTGTAGATGTTTTGAGCTCTCGCACTTCGGCCACTCGTGTCGTTTGTCATGTCAATGCCAAACATCGTTGAATACTGATTTGCACAGTATGCAAATCACGGCTGAGAAATTGACACGGTGTGATGATCAAGAGGTGAACTTCGAATTTTGTTTCGACCTGGGACGATTGAATTTTCTACTGAAGATTTTGTTGTTATATCGCCTTTCGCACGCGCTCTCCAATACCACGCCTCCTTGTTCAGGAAGTGTTGAAAATATTATACCAGAGCATTGTAAAGCATTGAAAGTGTTCAAAAGCATTGGAAATAATGAAGAACCATTAAAAACCTTTAACCGTTGAAAAAAATAAAGCCGTTAGGCAACCCGTTGAAAGCATTATGAAAAGGCCTGGGAAAATCATCACAAACCGTTTGGAAAAAGTTACAAGCCGCTGAAAGTTTTTGCGCACCGGTTGAAAGCATTGAGAAAGCCGTCAAAGCCATTCGAGAAACCGTTAGCTACCCATTGGTTAGCAGTTGGTTTTTGCCCATTTAACTGAAAACCGTTAGTGTACATTTTCGTGTGAGAGGTCACATTATAAAGGGTTGAATAGGTCAGACATTAATAAAAATGAGAAAGGAATACCAATCTAAGGCAGCAAAATACACAAAGATTTTCAGAAATACAGTTCTCCAAGGGTTAATTGTAAGATATTTAATCGTATTATGTTTTATTGTAATGTGCACATGATCATTTTATGGAATGCGCACAATAGAAGCAATAAATTATAATATTATTAAACTTCTGATTTCAGATGACACATCCCTTCCTGCTTTCGTTATGGAAAGTTTTGTTGAGGGAAAGTCATACACGACTTTCATAATGGCGGACCCCGCGGGAAACCTGGTGCGAGCAGCGTGAAAATGAGGCCAGCGTCGCATTGCGTCTGTTGTTGTTTATAACACAAGCACGGCCACAAGTGCTGAAAATGGCGAGCACATCGGACAATTCAAGCGATTCAAATGCAATTCCTCTTACAGGAAAACGATATTCCCAGCGCTTCTCTACTTGGATGAAAACCTGAGGAGTTGAAAAACTCAGAACTTAAATTCTGGCTGAAATGTCGCGGAGACACAGGGAAAGGTTTGAAGACAAAAGCGGAGCTAGTGAAACGAGTGTACAAGTACATACGAAGTGGGAAGGACAAACAGATCATAGATCCAGATCCACATAAAATATATAGCCGTAGAAAGCAAAAGCAAGGCACAAGTTCAGAGCTTGTCAAGAAAAGTACAGGGGCAGCAGACTTTCCAACTACTGGATGGGGAACGTCGTTGGAGAAGATGCCAATGTTCACACGACTGCAAATGAATCACCACGTGTTGAAGTCCGGGAAATATTGGTAATATTGATCATCACACCCTCCCGACGGGGTTGGTAGAGGCCAGGCGCTTCTTAGATGACGAATATCTGGAAAATATTGAATGTGCCAGTGATTCGAAGTACTTCTTCTTCAAAGGGAAGTGCTGTCATAGTTTTCAAAAAAAATGACCCCCCACATAATCTGAAAGTCACCTTGTGCATCTCATCAGGATTAGTGAAGGTGCTTCGTGTTCGTGTGTGGCGGGAAAAAGCGGATTCTGTAACCATGTGTTGGCATTGATGTTCAAGATGTGCAAGTCTACGTTATTTTCCTGTAATTCTACCAAGGACCTGATGGAGGAACAGGACGAGCAATCCTCCTTGGCCTGTACATCACAACTGCAGCAGTGGCACAATGAGGGCGGAGGAAAGAACATTGCACCACAGCCAGTGATGGAAGTGGAAGTTACAAAAACAAAGGATGCAGAATTCAGATTACGTTCTGGCATCAAATCTCTTGTATATGATGCCAGGATGAAAACCACACATAATGTAGCTGCAGAGCAGAAACTAAAGGAGCAGCTGAAACAAATTGACCCTAATATAGGTCTGTCTCATATGGCTAGTGAACAGATTGATCAGTCGCATACTAGACTTGTAGAAACAAAATTTCGCAAATGTCAAGTTGGTTGTTTCTGGTCATACCAAGTTTCCCTGACATGGGCACACTTTGAGGCCACAGCATCCATTGACTGTGTACCAAGGCTTAACCAAGTAACTAAAAATTAAGCCCTCACTTATCCAAGGTTTCCTGAAGGTTTAATGAAATGGCACTACCTGACAATTTGAGTGAGAATGACAACAAACTTCTACAATCTTTGAAGTTAGAGGAAAATGAACTCAATGACCTTGAAACACAAACAAGGAATCAAGCTGAATGTACTAAATGGAAAGATGACCGAAAATTCAGATTTACTGCCTCTCAATTTCACTTGATATCTAGACGACAGAGAAATCATGACACTTTTGCAGAACAATTGATCAATCCAAAATCTGTTACTTCAAAACAGTTAGAACATGGAAAAAAGTTACTTAGACAACGTAATTCCCTCATACTTTTCATATACAAATTGTTTTCATGTGGACAATTCCACGAGGGAACACCAGAACAACAAAGTTTCCCCACTCCCATTCTCGGAGCTACTCCTGATGCAAGAGTAGCCGACGTCGGCTGCACAGATTACTTTGGCATAGCTGAAGTGAAATGCCCCTACACCAAACATCATGTCACGCCCCTTAATGCTTGTATGGATGAAAAGTTCTTCTTGAAACAGACAGGTGACAGGGAGTGCAAACTGAAGAAAACCACCCTTACTATGCTCAAGTGCAAGGACAAATGGCTGTTACTGGAGCAAAGTGGTGTGACTTTATTGTGTATACCAGTAAGGGTAGTTATGTCCAACGTATACCTTTTGACCCTGTGTTTTGGGCTGGATTAGAACAAAAACTGCTTTCTTATTATTTTGATCACTTCATTACCTTTCCATCTGCAAAGTTTTTCCAGGGGAGTTGTCAAGTAAACAACAAAAGTGATTGTGAAGTATTGTACACAGCTACATCAGGTTAACCCTTCAATTCTCATTAACACAGCAAAAATATTTGTCCCAATGACTATGTATTTTTTGCTATAAAAGAAATTATGCCAAGTTTCTAAATCCAGCTGAAGAGATACATTCCTTCCTCTTACAGTTGTTGAGTGTGGATTTGATATTTTTCATGAAGAAAGTAAATAGTGACAACTGTTTGAGAATTCAAGGGGTAGTGATAGATACCATAGTCAGACCTCAAATACAATATTTTTATTTTAACCTTGTAATAAATAGTCATATCAGCAAAAAAAGTATTGTCTTTCTTATCTTTGTACCCACTCAACACATAGAGAGACTGAAAGAGGATTGTGTATGTTGTGATTTGATTTTATCCTTAATTTAAATATTATTTTCCATTTGTTTAAAACTCACTCAAACCAAGAACAGTAGGAAGATAAAATTTAAAACGAGGATAAATTTAAAACTCATCATACATATGTATAACTGTTGTGTTACATTTTTAAAAATGCCACCCTCACCTTATCACCACACAACAAGCACTCTTAAACATTAATGCAGCAGTTATCCTAGTCTTGGATTTCAAATATCTTCCCCGTAACTAAGATTTTCAAAGTGATATTGAATTTTAAGGGAGCTGTTGTGTTTGTAACAATAGATTTTCAATTAGCATTGTTAAAATTTCAAATACATGGGAAAGTCATATGGATATGATGTTGGGCTGCGCATTGCAACAGAATGCTCATACTGCCCACATCTGGTTTACAATTCCCATCTGATGTAATGGAACAACTCTATCCCAGATGTGAAAGTTTTTTATCTTGTTTATGGCACGCTCAGCATGAATTCTTAAACCAGCGATTTCCTGGGTGGCTACCACATCCTCTGCAGCCATATGTGCAGATAATCCAAGAAAAGGTGGCAAATTTAAAGTAACTCCCAAAGGCAACAAATCCTGAATTGTGAATCCTTTATCTGCCATAACTGAGTCTTTATCGTCAAATGGAAGCTCTAAAAAACCACCGAGATTGAACCATCTACTACGAGTGAGCAAGTGACTAATTTGCATATCCTAGTCCCTGCAATAACTCATGGTATGCTCGCGCATCCCCACAAGTTAAAAAGGAGCAAAAACCCTACCCACTGGGGTGGCACATACCTATATGGCTCATATAAGTGAGTACCCCACGGGAATAAAAAACACTGCATTATCTACCGTTTTATCTGTTGACATTTTTTTAACGTTCATTCCAATGAAATTGACATGTGAGTAATCAAATCTTTAAACTTTTCGAGGTCAGAAAATGCAAACAGCTAATTCCTTTAACTTCAAGACAAATAACAAGAAACAAAAGGAAAAATCTTGAAACAGAACATTTTTTTTTGTGGCAAAATGCATTTTCGTGTCGACCATAAGTTTTAAAATAAGATTATCATCTATTTAAAGTCTTGGTACAGCTGCTTGAGTGAGGTTTAATGGGTTAATTCCCTTTATAATAAGCTGTTGGCTGTCTGTTCTAGAAAACTTCTCGTTCTCATTCAACACAGGTTTTATGCCGGGCAGCCCAGTAAAGTCGGGGTCTAGTTGTGTAAGCATTTGGTTAAAAAAAATCCAGTTAAAAAGAGGCAATCAGTGGGACCGTTTCTGGCCGCCACACATAACTCTTGCTACGCATTTTGACCGTTCAAAAACTTTGAAATTTTAGTTTTCTTCGAGGCCTAGTTCCGGGCCTTTTGGATGGATCTTTGATTGGAAGGTACAAGAACAAGGGTGAATGTTACGAGCTTTCTGCTGCGAGGTTTGAAGGCGGAGCGACGTGATTTTCTGAGGGAAAATCGCTCTAGTGCTGGAGCCGTTCAAAAATTTATTCCACCCTTGTCCTTCTATTAAGAGGAACAGCGAACTCAAAATCCTTCAAAATCGCTGGAAATACCACTTCTGAGGCAAAAGGACAAAATTTACCGAAGATAAAGCAAATTACATCGGTTACGCAAACAGATTGTGTGGGCTACCTGTGGTCCCACTTTATCATTCCGGGATGACACGCTCTAAACAAGTCAATCACATCCAGAAATTTGGAAGAATGCAGCTTTTCATTTCCGATAAAACTCCACACACCGTTAAAAGTAAACGATCTAAAAGGTTTTCCAATGTTAATAACCAGTTTCACGCCTAAATATTTTCATTCAGAGCAACAATTTATTTCATTCAGCTGATTCAGCTGATTGCGAGAATCGGAAGGGGCGTGCAAAAATGCGGCAAACATAGTGGCATAACTGGTGTAATTTTACTCACCGCTGCTTGGATGGTGTGCTTCTACATCAGTTAAGCAATACAGTCCGTATCTTTAACTTCATGTGTGTAGATGAATAAGTAAACTCCCTCACATACTATGAAACGCTGCTGCGGCACGATGAAAGCACGACTCCACCGACAACTTCTCACTGAAACGAGGCTTATGTCATGACAGGTCACAGGCTCGTGAGGCCACAGGTAACCCAGCAGTGGCGAAGGCGAAAAAAGATGTAAGCAGAAAAAAAAAACACAACGACGAGGGGGTGGGGTAGGGGTGAGAGCGAGTTAAGGTTCCCTTCTCTCTCCCTCGCCCTCTTTCCTCCTTAATTTTTTTTTCGCTCTCTTCCTCAACCTCGTTCCCAGGGTTCTCACCTACCCTTCCTGCGGAGCGAGAGAGAGAGAGAGAGCTCTCTCTCTCTCGCTCCGTAGGGCGGGTTGGAGAGAACCCTGGGAACTAGGCTTTCACTTCCTTCGCGCCGCACTCCTCTACCCAAACGCCTGAAACAGGCCCTGTAGCTCGCCGTCACAACTGTCAGATTTCTGCCAATCAGCGCATAACGCGAATGTAAACAAACTCTGAAAAACACGGGCCAAGGGTAAGGACGTCATTGCTAATGTAATCTCCGCCAATCAGCACTTCGCATCGACTATTTCGATGCAGATATTCAAATTCCAGACAGAGCTGAAACTGAATTCCAGATAAGTAGTTGCAAGCTCTCCTTCCTTTTCCTAGCCTGCGAAGCGCAGACGTATATTTCCGGTCGTCGCTTCTCTCCCTCCGAAAAATATATTTTCGGAGTTCTGTTCCTGCAGCCTATGCAGGGCAGTGAACATTTAGGACACATCTTATGTTAGCCCGCGAAAACAGCCGTTTCTCCTCGCTCCTCGCCGCTGGCGACGTTTCGTGGGGAGGAAAGTCTGCGAGTCAGCGACAGAAATTCCATACTGATGACGTAAAAGACCAAACAACCTGCAATATTCAGGTGGCGAAAACGCCATGACAATATCTTGGTCGTAAAAGCCATTGTTGAAAAGCCCACTTTTTTAAATTTGTTTTTTTGTAAAGTATTTTCGTCAACGGCTCTTGTCTTTAGTTAATATGGGCCTTCAAGCCGCGATAATACGACTGAGCCCGCTGATACACGAAAGAGAGCAGCAGTGAGTAGCCTCTGTGACCACCCCTCCCCCTTTGAAAAATCCTGGCTACGCCCCTGCAGTCTATAAGACAGGTGACAGAACTGAGCTAGGCAATTATCGGCCAATTTCATTACTATCTGTGTTCAATCGATTGTTCGAAAGACTGATGCGTAAACGCCTCACCTCCTTTATCGAAAAAAAATAACACATTCTTTATAATGCACAGTATGGTTTCCGAGCAAACTGTTCTACTTAACACGCAATTTTGGATATTGAATATATACATACATACATATACATATACTTTATTTATGCTCGAAATTTACAGAGTAGGTGTAGAGCTAATGTATTCGAGAAAATAAGTTAAAATAAAATAAAATATGTTATATTACAATTCTATTATTATTTATAAACTAAATACAACATTATGCATGCAAAGAGGAATATAACTTGTAAATCTACTGTGGAAAAGCTCCATATCTGAGGATCTCCTGCTTGAATTCTGGGAAATTTAATGTTTAGTAAGTGTCTGGGAGAGAGTTCCATATTTTGCCGGCTAAGTATGAAAAAGAGTGCAGACCGTAAGTCGTTGTTTTTGGGTTAGGAAGGGCCAGGATATGATTTCCGCCCAAATTGTAGGATGAAGACCGTACGATGAACATATCTTTTAAATAACTTGG